TAACATCATGCTCAGGCTGCTGTTTCCTAGCTGCTTAGAATCATGCAATTGTAACAAATGTCAGAGGAATGCTGAGATAAGAAAATGATAAAGTCAGTATATTTATATTAAATGTAAAATAATAGATGAATAGTAGGTGAAGTAGATATTTTATGTGTGTATAATACATATTGAAACAAATTTTTAGAAGACTTGATGAGGCCACTAAAATATATACTTCCAAAGTCATTGTTTGTGACTTTGCCTAGAAAGTTCACCCAGTCACTGACTTAAATTATCTTCATTTACACGAAAAAATTAGTTATAAGCAAATTGAAGAATAAGTGATAAGGAAACAAATGAATGCATATTTACTACCAAGGGTTTGTTTTTTCTTTAAATTTTGGAAGGAGGTAGGGAACAGAAAAAGGAAAAAAAATCTTATTAATTGAAAAGTAAAATAAAATGGAAACAAAAGAATATAAAGTAGCAAGAAATTTGCTGCCAATCAAAACTGTAACTAATACAGGGCTGTTGGGACTTTGTACAGAGTATCAATGTGGAGGGGTTCTTGCTCCTACCTATGGTTTTTTAAATATTTTATTTTTCCCCAATTACATGTAAAAACAATTTTAACATTCCTTTTTTTTTTAATTTTGACTTCCAAATTCTCTTCCCTTTTCTTCCCATCCCCCCTCATTGAGAAGGCAAGCAATTTGAGAGGAGTTATACATATTCAGTCATACAAAACATTATTCCATGTTAGTCATGTTGTAAAAGAAAACACAGACAAAAAAAAAACCACAAGAAAAATAAAGAAATTAAAGAAAAAGTATGCTATGACCTGCATTCAGACCCCATCAGTTCTTTTCCTGGAGGTGGATGACATTTATCATCATAAGTCCTTCTGAATTGTCTTAGATCATTGTATTGCTAAGAATAGCTAAGTCATTCACAACTGGCAACAATATTGTTGTTATTGTGTAGAATGTTCTTCTGGTTCTGCTCATTTTAGTCTGCATCAGTTCACATAAGTCTTTCCAGGTTTTTCTGAGAGCATCCTGCTTATCATTTTCTATAGTACAATAGTATTCCATCACAATCATATACCACAACTTGTTCAACCACTCCCCAATTGATGGGCATCCCCTCAGTTTCCAGTTCTTTGCCATCACTAAAAGAGTCGCTATACATATTTGTGTACATGTACTCCCTATGGTTTTGACACTTTCTCCTCAAGGTCAGTGGCCCTAGGTAGCTATAGGAGTATCTTGAGGTAGAAAGCTTCATCATGGAAAAAAAAAGCATTCACCCCATTCTGATGCCCAGCTCTCTGGATGCAGTGGGGATTGACTACCCTCATGTTGCCTCACCTAGGGATCTGCTTTTGGTACACTAGGGGTTGGGGGCCCGGGACTAAAATAATGGTGACTTGCATTTACCTTGGAACATCTTAAGCCTTTGCCCCCCATCCCAATCCTTTGTCTGATATGACTGCTCCTCACCTGTGCTACCTGTGCTGGGGTCCCCTACTATCAGGGATGCCTGAGAATATTAGTAATGGAGGTCCACTGAGAATCCCAGAGTTTCTGTCTCTCAACCCTTCCCACCATTGAATTTTTTTCCAGGTGTTGGAATACCACTTTTATGTTCTATTAAAATCAAAACAAAATTATAGGAGCCCACCCACATCCCAGCTCTGATAACTCCTCATCTCCTCTCCAATTATACATCACTTCATTTCATTAATTTGTATTTATCTATAAATTTCTTTGCGAGTACATTTTTACCTGTTCTATGTAAGTGTGTGTTTTCCCTCTCTCCTCAATCACAGCTAAATTTCTCAAGTCTGATGTCTGTGACGACTCTAAAATGTGTTGGTTCCCAACCTGTGTCTAATTGCACAGGACTAGGACTCTGGTTGTCAGTGTCCTTTGGACAAGGAGTCACTCCTGGGGGTGTCATCTTTAGTTTTGTTTCTCTCTTTTTTGGTGAGGCAATCGGGGTTAAGTGACTTGCCCAAGGTCACACAGCTAGTACGCGTCAAGTGTTTGGTTTGAGGTCAGATTTGAACTCAGGTCCTCCTGACTTCAGGGCCGGTGCTCTATCCACTGCATCATCTAACTGCCCCTTTTTGACTTTGTTTCTTTCATGCAGGTTACTGTATCCAAGTTTTCCTGGCAAACAAATGACCTTTTAGCAGGTACATTAGATTACTCCTCCTGGTTTCACTCAAACTCCCTAAATTGGTCTTACAGCCTCTCTTTAGCTTCTTGTCCCTTTTAAAATCATCCTTTACTTTATAATTAGCATGACTATAAGTGCTGTTGCCTCTAGGAGTACTGTGCTCTCACTCAGAAGAGAAGGTTATCAAGAAGAGAAGGATGAGAGCAGAGGCAGTGTCTCCTATTAAGATTTGATTGTGTTGGTGTAAATAAGACAAAGGGTGGCCTTTTTAAAAACTGATCTATTTTAATTTAATAGTTGTAAAAGCTCCACCCTCCATCCACCTCGATTTCCTTTTCACTAAGCCCTATCCATTTTGAAATGCCTTAAACTCTTCCATGTAAATCTATTTACATGTAACTCTGTATTCAAATCTGTTGAGGCCTTTTCTTTCATTCATCTCTAGTTGGTTAATTATGAGTTAACATGATCTTCTCAGAATAACCTCCTACCCTTCTCAAACCCACCCTGGCTATATAGTTCATAAGATCATAAGTTTAAAACTAAAAGGGACCTTAGAAGATATTCCCTCACTTTATAGGTAAGGAACCCAGAAAGGTGAAAGGATATACCCAAGATTATCCAGGTAGCAAATGGCAGAGTCAGGATTTGAACACAGGTCCTCTGACTAAATCCAGCACTTTCTACCCCTTTATGTTGTCTTCCTTTATCTCCTGCTCTGCTGCCTATGTGCAAACTTTCTCAACTTTTATGGTTTAATAATGCATTTATTTATTTGCCTCCCTATGCTCAGGGTGGGAAATGGACTAAAATAAAAGTTTAAGGGAAATGACATAATTTGTAATATTCACTTTGTCTCAATACCTGCTTCAACTCCACTCTCATCCCCCCAGCATTTTATCTACCTGTTGTCTTCTATCTTGCCACAGATACCTTGAAGATTTTTTCTTGTATAATTTCCTGTTGGTAGTATTACTTCATGAATCTTGAAAACTGCCTTTAACTCCTTCTCACTTATTCCCTCCCTAATATCTATCACACTGACTTGTGAATTCATCCATACTTCTATGCTTCAAGGCATTCCAAATCTGTATTTATTGTTTCATTTCTTGAAAGGTATATTTATTTTATTCTGCATGTGGATGCTCCTCTGAGAACAGGAAAATTAGGGTCTCTATTCATTCCAGTCTTCACCTTCTTCCACCCACTCCACCTCTACCTTTCCAGCCTTTCATTCAGAGTCAAATAGTTCATTCTTCAGATATGGTGTGGGCAAGATATGGTGTTAGTTTTGAAATAGAGACTTTCTCAACTGCTCAAGTCCAACAATCTGATCTTTGAAGATAAGGAGGACAGAGGGAGGAGTGCAAAAGTCATAGGTTAAAAGGAACAATCCAGACTTCTAAGATAACAATGGGTAGGGAGCCTTGAAAAATCTGATTAAAATTGAAATCAACTTGGAGACGCTAAGAGGAGTATGCCTTCTGAAATCCCTTCCAGCTCAAAATCTTTTATCATATGCTATATATTGGGAGAAGAAAACACCAAATGCTATGAGAATTTTACTAACAGGTAAGTAGATGTCTAAATTATATATACATACATTTTTATTATTAATATTAAGAAATGGAAAGTGAAGGAGTGCTGGGGGGAATGAAGGCATATGCTTATTTTTCTAATTTTAATTTTCCCCCTTTTTTTTCCCCTTCAGCAAATGAGCTTAGTACAATGGAAAAAGCATTGGTTCAGGAGTCTGAGTACCTGGGTTCAAATCATATCTCTGACACTACCTGTGTGACATTTAGGATGTCACTTCAGTTTTCCAAGTCTTAGTTTTCTCACCTGTAAAATAAAGAGGTTGGAAAACATGGCCTCTCACATCTCTTTCACTACTAAATCTATTGTATGACTTCTATGGAGCAGTGGACTTACCTTCCTAGAAAAAGCAGTTGACCAAACTCTCAACAAATGTAACTCAGGGGAAACAAATGTTTAACCTGAAGATGCTAGTTACTTTCAGAAAGTAAAATACCACACTCAAACCTTATTAAGATTTTTTACTTGGGGAGGTGGGGTACAAGGAAACAAATCACTGTCTCATCAGTCTTTGAGGATTTTAAAGTCAAAAAGGACCTAAGCCACAACAGTTCATTAGATTGAGTCTATGAATCATTTCTAGTGAATTTGTTTGGATTCATTAGTGGATTTCCAGTGATTCCAGTCATCAAGATAAATTAACCTCATCTCCAATCAATCAATATACATTTATTAAGCACCTACTATATTGCCAGGTTCTGTGTTAGGTACTAGGAATACAAATACAAAAGTGAGACTGTATCTGGCATCAAGGAGTTTACATTCTGATATGTTTTCTTTTAAAATTTCTAAAATGCACATTATTTATGCTACAATAGTATAAACATTATGAATAAAAATAACCTCACTAATACACTTATTTTATGTAATTTCTCACATATACACTTGGAAATAAAAGGTACTTCAGTTGTTTTTTAAAGCAGCAAGATAAAATAATTTTCTACTGTGAAATAAGCAATAGCCATCCTTCCCACTACACAACTATCATTTGTAACCATTCAAATGACTTTCCAAAGCTTATATGTTAATGGTCCCTGGGAAAAAATAATTTACCATCTGAAAAGAAAGATTCCAATCACAGAAATCTCATTTTTGACATGATTTCAAGGGAAATTTTGAAAAATATTTTCTCTAATACTCATACTGTCTAGTGTGATAGGCATCTCTGTGGCATCATTTATCTTGTTTAAAACTAGAAATAACCTAAAGTCCAAGAAGCTAAGAGTCATTTTACTTACCGGTACATCTTTGGTAAGCAATGCAGAGGCCCAGAGGAGTGCCCAAAAACTACAAACAGGTCTTTGCATCCCAGGCTATATCAACAGCTTTGTGAGCTAAATGAAGTTGAGGAAAGAAGTCACTAACAATTTAAATGGAACTAGTCTGACTGGTCTTGGCTAAGGTGGTAGTGATTGGCTGTGTGACTGATTAGTGAGACAGATTAAGGAATGAGAGAGTATATGTCATTTTGTAAGAACTCTCTAGAAGTGAACAGTTAAAGTAAAAAACTCCCTGAATAAAAAACAGGAAAACCCATAAGTTTGGGGGACATTATGGAGATTTCACGTGACCCAATCATTTTGACAGTACAGAAACTGAAACCCAGAGAGGTGACTTGCTCAAGGTCACACAAGCTAATGCTGCTTCTTCAACTGGTGTTGTGGATTCAATAATGACCCCTTTGCATGGATATTTCCTATTCCGTGTTATCTTTTAAAAATGTATTGAGAGTAAGAAAAACATGAATACCTTACCAATTTCCTCCTAAGAGTTCAAAATGTTTCAAAGATTCTAAGCTCCAACAGGGAAGGATATCCATCCCCTTTCATATAACTTTGTGACCTCTTTCTGGGGCAAAAAAAAAAGTATAAATATGGTATGATGTGTTCATGCATGTGTGTATGTATGTGTGTAACAGACTTCTGAAAATCACCTTTAAAAAATTATGTTCAATGCTTCTACTTAATTAACAGACTAAAGGCAAGGCTGAGTGGAATGAATTAAATGTGTGTGGAGACATAGGGCTATTGACATGTTTGACTGGGTTGGGGGCCACCCGTAACTAGAACCAGCCTCTAGCAGCAACCCATAAGACCTGAAGCTTGGTGATGGAGTTGTAGATGCCTCAAAAGAATAGCACTACCAGAGTCAAGAGGACCTGAGTTCAAATCTGGCCTCAGACACTTGACACTTACTAGCTGTGTGACCCCAGGCAAGCCACTTAACCCTGATTGCCTCACCAAAAAGCAATAAATAAAAAGAACGACATATTAAAAAAAAAAGAAAAGAATAGCACTAGATACCTAGCTGTACTTACTCTTAGAATGTAATGCCTTCTATTTATGCATGCATGTGTACATGCAGCACCTTCCATATATACAAACATAGATATAGGTATCAGGTTTAGGGATTTTTTCTCCTCTTGTATTTATGCTTCTTAAAAGCCCAGCAACCCTGATACACTCAATGAAAGAGATAAATGATGTTGAATCGTCAACATTGCTTTCTTCTTGGTTTTCCTATAGGTCACCCAAGTCCCAGATATGTATCGACTGTGACTTTCTTACTTGTCAACAGCTGGTTTACAAAGAAGGGTTTTGCTAGGAAAAAAAAAAAGGAAAACTTTTTTTTTCATCGTGTGGTTTATGATTCTGCCATTCTGATGACAAGTAGTCTCTTTGTTGAGACTTGTTAGATGGATTTAAACTTCATTGCCCATAACTTCTTTCCTCACCAACATTCAACCTACAAATTTGAACGTATTCTTAGTGCTATGTGACAAAGTATTTATGTTCCTATAGACACATAGAACTCTAAAGATGTAGATGCAGTGGAAGAAAGCCTAGAAAGATTAGGTGGAATGTAGGGGAAACTATAAAGCAAGGACAGGTGAATAAAGACTAAGGGAATGTGTGAGCTTGATGAAAACACAGTAGTTAACTGGATAGTTATATGGTCAATAGTGACAATGAGATTGTGTTCCTTTTTTTTTTGTTTTTAACAGACTCCAAGCCTTTTGTACCCTACATTTTACACTTCCTTATGATGTCTCCATCGGGGAAGGAGAGATTCAGGTGATGAGAGAAGAAAAAAAGGAGAGATAAGGGAAAGAAACAAAAGAACTAGTGGCTTATCAGGGTATTTATTTTATCTGTCATGTGTATGTGTACATGTGTGTGGGTGTGTGGGTATGCATGTGCACAGGCACATCCATTTGTTCTGTTGGGTTGTGCTATGAAAAAGCTTTGAAACTTTTTTGAAGGACTTTGAAACTTGTTACTATCTGGAAGAAACACCTTAGAGTGAAAATGTTTGTTTCTTTCTACTGTTGCCCTCACTTGTTATTTAGGAAATGGCAAATCTGATCCTCTAATCTCCAGGTCATAAACTCAATTGGATCAGGGTGGTTGGATGAACATACACTGCAGACTTAGAGCTTTGAGGGATGCTAGGTGGTTGTGTCAGTCATCCAAATAACTAGAAAAAAATTCAACCAGACCACAAATATTTTTATTAGCCTGAACATGTTCCCAAAGTCCTTCCCACACAAGGTCATGGCAATGATACACCCAGTTGCTATGACCATAAGTGACCTTAAGAAGTACACTCATTGTCAGTGTACCTAGTCATGAAGAGAGAGGTTTCTTGCTTATTTGTTTGTTTGTATTATTCAAAATCTTTCCTTAACCTAGCCTGAGATCTTGGAGAGAAAGAGAGGAAAGGAAAGCTGAGTATTTAACTTAATTCAGTCCAAATCAACAGGTATTTTTTAAGAACTAATTTTGTTAGGAAGTGGCTAGTCCCTTTGAATTAAAAGATGGAAATGAAAAACAATCCCTACCCTCAAAGATGTTTACATTCTACTGGGGGGAGTCCAAAACACAGATAAATAAATACAAGACAATTTGAGGAAGAAAAGAGGACTAACAACTGGAGGGGGGGGTCAGGAAAACTTCCTAGAGGAGGTGGCACATGAACTAAACCTTGAAGAAAGCTAGGGATTTTGAGAGGTGGAAGTTACTGAAAGCCTATCCAATCTTAAAGACTAAACTATGCGCAGATTAATCCCTTAGTGTCCCATCAACTACTTTGGTCAAGGAAGCAAAATAGCTAGTTATTTATCTCTTAAGGATTGCTTGGTTCAAATACTTGACTGATAAATCCATCGACATTTTTGAGCACCTACTATGGGCCAGGCATAGTGCTAGACATTATACTAGAGATAAGCATGTGACTAGGGACAAGACAGGAGCTTACATCCCATTGGGGAAGTATATATGTACATAGGTATATATATGTACATAAGTATAAAACATGAAAATATAAGGTAATTTTAGTGGGAAGGACATTAGGAGCTTGAGGAATCAGAAAAGGTAAAAGAAGTAGGTGCTTGAATTGAGCTTCACAGTAAACAAGGGATTCTAAGAAGCAGAAGTAAGTAGAGAAGGCATTATAGTATTGGCAACAGCCTATGCAAGGTACAGAGATGGGAGATAAACTTTTATGTCTGAAGAAATGCAAGAAGTACAGTTTGGCTGGATTGTAGAGTACAGAAGAGGAAGTAATGCATAATAAGACTAAAAAGGTGGGTTGGGACCAGATTCTGAAGGGATTTGAAAGTCAAAAAAGAAGAATTTGTATTTTATCCTAGAGACAAAAAGGAACCATTGAATTTGAGTAGGAAAAGGCCATAATCAGATCTGTATTTGAGGAAATTTTTTTGATCCATGCCTGTCATCATTTCTTACAGCACAATAGTATTCCACAGCATCCATGTACAATAACTAGTTCAGTCATTCCATAATTGATGGACATTCACGTATGTGTGTGTGTATGTATGTATGTATGTATACATATGCTTTTTTTTCATAGAGATGATATGTAAATCCATTGGAGCTGATTAGATTACCAAATAAGTGTGGAGAACATGACCCAAGACAAAGCTTCAGACTACATCCACAGTTAGGAGGTTGGCTATAGAAAATGAACTCACAAGAGATTAAGAAGAGTATTCAAACAGGGAGGAGAAGAAATAAGAGAGAGCAGAGAAAATAAAAAGAGAGTAGAGAGTATCCAGAGAGAAAGGATGATCAACAGTGTTAAATGTTTCAGTTAAGTCAAGAAGGATGATGATGAGATCATCAGATTTAGCAAATAAAAAATCATTGGTAGCTACTTATATCTATAGTCATAGTCACATAAGCACAACCAAGTGTTGGCTTTTCTTTCCTGATTTTTATTGCTATGCAAATACCTAGTCAGCTTGATTTTTTTTTAAGGTTAAAAAACAGAAAGCACCAGCAATTTAACTATCAATTGCCACTCCTCTTGGTAAGAATTGCTTATTATACAAAAGAGCTGTTGAAGAACTTATTACCACTGTTTTGGTCTCCAGTTCTCTTCTACTTTTATAATTAGGCTATCCAGAATCCAATGGGACTTCTTCATCACTTGCCTCTACTTGAAATCCTGGAACACCTATCATTATAATGCTGGGAATTACATGTCTTTTTGTCACTGTCCTAAACTTTGGCTTAACCTCATAATCTTTAGGGTGTTAAATGATAAAAAATTTTAAATGTATTTTGCATAAACATGAGGCAAGATGACATTCTAGCAACATCGGAAATCATTCTCAGAAAGCCACAAATGCTTTTTCAACTACAAGCAGGTTTACCTTCTTTGGAGCCATGTTTCACACTTCTAAGCAAAACTTTCCCAAAATACAGTCCTCGTTGTAATTTTGAGACACGGGTGTTCATCCTTTAAACACTTTGGTAAAGTTTTAGATCAGTACATTTATAATCTTTTTGTTATTTGTGTTCAGATATAATTATGGCCAGATGTAGGGTGGGGAATGGGGGTTGAGAGAAGCACACCAGTATTTCCTGTTACCAGGGAAGATAAAGTTAGTGGATAGCTCAAAGATGGGAGTTCTGGGCTGCAGCAGAACTCAAGTCTATTTTATATCTGCACTAAGTCCTGCACCAATATGGTAACCCCCTAGAAACTGGGAGGCAAGGGTATCTCGCTGCCAAGGAAGAGGCAAACCTTCCCCAGTCAGAAACAAAGCAGGTCAAAGCTTCAATGCTGATCATTAGTGGAACAAGGCCTGAGAGTAGCCACTGTACTTCCAGAGTAGGGGAGAGAGAGAGAGAGAAAGAGAAAGAGAGAAAGACAGAGAAGAGATTTTATGTGTACTTCAACTTCTATTAGAGTATCATTTTCTACAGGGCACGGTCTGAGTTTTGTACTTGTTGTTTAGTGGTTCAGTTGTGTCCAACGCTTCGTGACCCTGTTCCATGGGGTTCTCTTAGCAAGGATACTGGAATG